CAAATTTTGGTGCATTTTGGTGTTTTGGTGTGTCTCCATTGGAGATGCCCTAAGAGTGTGTTCAGTGCATATTAAAATGAGAGTGCATTTTTTTGAAGTGATGTGATTGGGAATATGTGATTGAAAAAGAAGGAAAAGTTATTGATGTAATGTAAAATATTATTTTATTGAAGAATGTGTAGTTGAAAATGAGTAGAAGGATGAGAATGAAAAAAATAATATAGCTCAAACATAGTGTAAATTTGGATAGTCAAACCCACTCTCTATTTTAAAAAGTCAAAATAGAGAGTCCCTTAAAACTCATTTTTAAGCATCGATTCTCTAAAATAAAGAGCATTTTGCATTTACACAATCTCTTGGAGATGCTCTAAGCCTATAACACATAATTTAAAATTCACAGAATACAAACACGAAAATCTTTGTTCAATTATTGTCATGCTTAAAGCTAAGGGCCCGGGAGTCCCAATACGTGTAGTAACACAGTAATACATGCATGTAAATGCTTCATTGTAGGAAATTAAACATCTACGGTCAAGACTAAAGGTGCAGATACCATCTTGACCACAGAACTACAGCATCATATCCCCAGTTTCATTTAAGCAAAAATTTATTAATGATACACCAATTGAGGAGCCAATTCAAGTACAGAAAGTCATAAGAGTTATATAACTGACACCAATCAATAATCTCCTTTTTAAACACCAGAAACCTCCTATTTATCCCAAAGGAAAGTAAATTCAGAATAGCAAAAAAGACTTGTAACACTCAAAACAATTTCCTCCAGTCTATCCAATATAAAGGTTCCTTTCCTATACCCCTTAGTTACTGACGTCATGCATGTGAAACTTAAACGAATATGAAATCTATAAACAATGAAGGGATTCAGGTAGTTACATAGTGCCCTCCAGATGTGATGGTGTGTCCACAACGGGGTGAAGGAGCTTGACCAGGAAGCTTCAGTTGTGTCCATCCGGGAGTTTCATTTTCTTCCTTCCACAATAAAGACAGGACAACACAGACTAAGCATACAAAAAACAATTTTCTAAAAGGACACGTAAGGCAACAAAAGGATACATTAATCAAGAATTAGTTTATGATATAACAATTATTCATTATATACAATAGAAATAGCTATAAATGATGTGACTGATATACATATAAATGGGAAGTGCTGGCAGATAAAACAAAGAAACTAAACTGGGTTTTACCTATGAAATGCAAGGAGCAATATTAAGTAAGTACATGACAAATCGCAAGAGACTTATGGAGGCAACATAGTCGCATTATAGCACTTATAAATCATTCTTTTAAGCATGCTCCACTTTTGCTTGACTGACTACTTATAAAACAAAAGGACTTACATTAAGCATATAGCTCGCCTTCCTAACCTAATGAGCCAAAAGTCTGCTTTTGACTATGATTGAGCCAGACGTACTACTCTCGATATGCATAGAAGATACCTCCGGAACTTTTTTTTCTCGGTCAGCATGAGGAAAGTTTCTCGAGGTCGGGTATGGGAGACTCAATCACATGTGCTCGACTGAATTAGCAGCCACGGAACTGCTAAATCCATAAGTATCTTTCTTAAAACATCAACATGAGGTTATGTGAATTACAACATAGGTTATAACCCATTAATTCAATTGAGTGGATGTGCATTCAAGTTGATTTTAACTGTATTAAAGTGTGATTGGCTTCCTCTTCATTAGAACTCTGAAGATTAAAATAAGGAACTAGTATAATCTAATGCATTTTGGGAATTCACTCTCTGCAGTATCAAAATACATAAACCAGAACACAGGATCCTTTCCTTCTAACTGCTTCTGCTAGGATCCTTTCCTTCTAACTGCTTCTGCTACATGAAGGAAAAAATGAAATGGAGAAAGTTACCTTCTTCAATAAGGCCCTTTAAAGCCCATAGATCACCCATGATTGGTCCGCCACCTCCTACAAAAGTTGGAAAGATTACTGACATCCAGAAAGAAGGGGGAAAACCCATATAGCTATTTATGAACACTAATTGAAAAGAATAGAAAACCCAGAAGGTTGTCTTGCGTCATTTTACCAATATCAGCCTTAAAAAGTTGATAACAAAGATTGAAAATATTACCGAATTTGGATCACATGTTCGTGAATTTGGCAACAGGAATAAGGCGGAAAATGCAGAAATGGTCAGGAGAGGTTCATGCCATCGGCATTCTTTGAGTCCACTAACTGTTTTTCAATGTCACTGGGCCAATTTTTAATGGTTATCAGGCATCCAAATTCTACGCCAGACATGAGGGGTAAATACTCTCTTTCTTCCATAGACACAACTGATGTAAAAAGTCCATTTAAATACATAAAATTGGACAGGGAAAGTTATAACTAGTTTGCAGATTGTATAATACTATTTCAACGTAAAAATACGTTATGCAGGTAAATACTACACATTTCAGAAATCCATGATTGACTTCCATTTAAGTTGACACTCGAGTTGTTCAATTAACTGCCATTAAAACTTAAAAATTGTGATGAAACCCTAGCTCCAGAATCGTATTGTTGATGAAGCACGGAAAGAAATTAGAATAAGTTGAATGTTAACATCAGATTATATGGTAATAAATGGTAAAGCAGATTCAGCTCAACAAAATTCTTAATATTCTTTCAAACATCCAATTAGGTGGAATTCTTGGCCATTCAACTTGTTGAAATCCAAATGAAACACTGCCTTCCAGGACTATTTTTTGTATATATGCAAGAGCACGCAATTTACTTACTCACATAGTAAGTACGAAATTAATTGTTCAATTGATATTACTTTAGCAAATGACGTAGTCCACCGAAAATAAAATAAAATAAGAACCCGAAAAATGAATTGAAAAGGAACTATCCTTCAGCCATGTTAGTAGTAGTCAAAAGGGGCTAAATTACCTCTACCACCATACATAAGCAACCGTTTCTCCACCATTGTTGCAGAATGCCCACATCTCGGAGGAGGTATTGTTCCAGAAACTGACAACTCAGTCCACTCTAATGAAACTGTTCAAAACGAATACCAAATATATGAGTGCTCAATGTGGAAGGTTTAAGTAACAGAACAACAAAAAAATTATCAACACCCCAACAAAAACATTACTTGTATCTAGGACATAGACGTCTGACAGCCATTTCTTACCATCCCAACCACCATACCTGCAATAAATTCAAGGGTTCTTAAGAACAAGTGGGATGAACCACTAGAATACCATAAACCAAAGAAATATACCTTTACTTACATAACAATTTTACGATTGCCAATGGCTGAAGCAGCTGCAAAATCCCTTGCAGAAGGCAAGTCGCCAAAACTTGAAAGCTCAGACCATTGCCATATATCTGTCAACCAAGAGAATATCAATTAAGCATTTTAACATCCATGCACACCACTGATTGGCTAAGCTAGGAACTGATAGAAGCTCACCGGTATCTAGGACCCAAAAATCACCCAACCTGCAGATAACATACTTCTCCGGTAAACAAGCACTCCCGTTTAACGAGAAATTGAAGCTACAGACATATAGTTGACTATGATCACAAACCTTTTACCACCAGCCCTCCCACCAAAAATGAACATGTGACAATCAATTGAAACAGCAACGTGGAAAGCTCGTGGGCTTGGACCCACTTGCCCACCAGAATAGCTACCTGTGCACTCCGGCTGAAACCACAACTTGTTCTCTGAAACATCCAAACTTCGGACCTTAGTATATGAAAATTCTTGAAAAAGTATGTTCTTTGCGTCTTAAGTCACCAGTCCTTGTTATTTCCGAATTTGAGGAACCAGTATTCGAACACTACGAAGCCGTGATAATGAATGAAAGTGTTCCCAAAATATATGAAGTACAATATTCAGCGACGCATTCATTCTGATAGAAGCAAAAAAGGCTTCTAGTATTTTTAAGCCATATGACTTCATAGCAGAATTACAAAAAGCTCCCCTTATTGGAAATTACACCCATGGTAAATAACCTAAATCCTCTAGTTCATTATTT